TGGGTGTGTGTGTCTATGCAATTATTATATATATAAAATTATATTCAATTATAGTCAAGTTCTCACCAGACATCCAAATAGGTTTCAAAACGCCACAGCTTTTGGCCTTCACGCACTTGGTCGGCATGTCTCCACCGCCCCCACCGACGAATCGGTACCAATAGTTGAGCAGGTTGGCATAGTGATAAGAATTGTCTTGCTCTGGGGGATAGTTAATACTTCGCCAGGATTGACTTAGCTCAATATGTGTCGTGCAAGGGTCACCTGAACAGTAAATATTTGTGAATTAAGTCAAGAATCCGAAACTGTATGGTTTTTTTGGTTTTTTTTTCTTGTTGGATTAGGCCTACTAAAATGAAACCCATATAATTTTAATCGAGGTTTGGTCGTCCTCCTACTTGTTAAAAAATACAATAACAAACTAGACTTTTGTTTGAACAACAGAACATAGGGTTTTTCCCCATTGATTTAATGAGAAATGAAATTGAAATTGCAACCAAAAGAAAAGTCGTTAAAAGCTATAAAGTAAAGAAAACAAAAAAAAAACACGGAAAACCAATCTAATTTTAATGAAATGAAAAAAAAACCCAAAGAAAACGAAGTCCACTGCGACGTTAGTGAGACTCGAATTATGGCTGCAATGGTAATAGCGAGGTACATCGATAACTATTTGCGCGCTATGAGCCGACCTTGCATAAGAAAGTACATGTTCAGTTCATAGTGATTCAATGACTAAAAGCAAACATTGTTCATGCATAGGCTATCACGGTATAGTTTTGAGTTTAACCTAGCTTTAACTGATTTAAGCGCTTTAGAAAACGTAAATTGCGTTAATTTAATCAACTGTCAACACAAAATCTTTAAATGGTCCTCATATCCACACCCTACACCAAAATTGGATGATTTCTTCATTTCACTATTCTTGCAAAGTTTCATTTTTATCCACCTATAACTGGCAACGTAAGCAATTTAAATGACCCTCAAATTTACACCCTAACCTGGATCGTCCACTACCCACAATAATATCTTCCTTGTACTGTAAATTGGGTTAAACTTTCCCGAAAGTTTCATTTGGATCAGATCAGGTCTGGGACGTATTCCTTTAAATGGTTCTCAAATTCACATATGTCGAATCAACAGATAAATTTAGTGATTTCTTTACTGGACCTTTACAAACTATTATATATAGAAAGTTCCATTTACACCCATTGAAAGCTTTTTATATACTGTACCATAGGTCTTTGTACATTTCCCCTACTGTAATTTGTATATGACTGCTTATGTTTTTTGACACCACGATGATTGAATACTAAATGGACTTTAGTTGGTTAGAAAATTTACTTCGTATTACATTCGAAAACATCTACTAATGCCATAATTTAAAAAAAGGAGTAATATTATATTTTTAAGATTGTCTTAATCTCTCAGCAGTCAATACTGTTTGAGTTTTGCAAGTGACTTAATGGTCTGGCGATTTTTTTTTTTTTTTATTTTTTTTTTTTTTTAATGCATGGAAAGGTTCATAAACGAACATAATAATGGTCCGAAGACTCCATGCAATTTAACTTTGAATCTATGGTCCGGAGTAGTTAACTAAGACATGTTAGGCTTATATATATTGCTTATTAAGCAATTGTATTCTTTTATATTGTATTTTGGCTATTTAAGCAGTAACGTTTTGTAGTATTTCTACAGTTTTTATGGTTTTAAATGTGTGTTAAAAAGTACATAAAATTACCTTCAATGAACTGTTCGCAGCAGTTACCAGTGTATGGGAAAGGACAGTTTGCGCAATATCCTGTCACCGCAGTTCCACGACTACACCCAGGTGAACAGACTTTCTGTTCTTGAGACGAACCAGTACACGCTGCGCCTCCACAAGACGCAGATCGAATCTTGGTTCGACTTCTCCTTTCTGTCCCACCATTTCCACAGGTTATAGAGCAGGCACCCCATTCTTGCCAGTTACCCCACGCACAATTCACAGGATAGCATGAGCGACGTTCGCAGCAGTTGCCGGTGTATGGGAAAGGACAATTTGCGCAACGTCCTTGCACCGCAGTACCACGAATACACCCAGGTGAACAGACTCTCTGTTCCTGACTCGGACCAGTACACGCTGAACCTCCACAAGACGCAGATCTACTTTGGGTTCGAATCCTTGTTTGCTCGCCGTTATTTCCACAAGTTATAGAACAGGCACCCCATTCCTGCCAGCCACTCCACGCGCAATTCACAGCAGAGCACGATCGGCGGCGTCGTCGTCTTCGACGCCCCCAAAAACCGTCCACGAGTGCTATCTCAAGGATACAAAGGCATATGACTGTAGCAAGTATAATTTTCATGGTGCTCTAAAGGATAAGAAGAATTAATGGATGGTTTTATAAAATAGAAAATCCCTTAAATATAATCATAACATGGCACAGGTTACAAAGCTGAATTTGCAGTATTGAAATCGAATATATTTAAACAAATTTGCAACGTTAACAGGCAAAATTCACTCAAAATCATCAATCCACTCGACCTCCGGAGTTTGGTAGAGTAGAATACCAAATAGCATCAATTTTATTGGTAATCAAATTTTCAACACAAATTCACACAGCAGAGCACGATCGGCGACGTCGTCGTCTTCGACGCCTCCAAGCATCCACGCTTGCTATCGCCAGGATACATAGGCACATGACTGTAACAAATATTATTTTCATGGGGCTCTACTAAGGATAAGAAAAATAAAACAATGGTGTTATATTAATAATAAAAAACCCCATAATCTTAACAGTGCTTATGGTACAGGGGTGGATTAGTTTAATTTTGATAATTAATTTGCAACGTTAACAGGCCAGATTCACTAGAAATAGGCCTACCGTACCCATCGATCCTCTACCAAGGGAATTCGGCCCCTCTTACACGACACTGAAATAGCGTTAATAATACCTGGATCGCCGGAGCGCCAGGGGGCACTAGGCAGCCCGGGCCCCCAGTCAATTTTCCGTTTTCCAGAAAAAAAGAATCCCACAACCCACACAAACACAATCTAGCGTACGGCCCTGTATTCTTATTAATTTTAATGTAATTCTTCTTAATATTCTTATTCTTATTATTCTTCATATTCTTATAATAATAATAATAATAATAATAATAATAATATATTATTATTATTATTATTATTATTATTATTATTATTACTATTGTGTTTGGCCTATTATTATTATTATTATTATCAGGATTATGATTATTTAATATTAACAAATATCATCAAAGCCGAAAGAATAACTTTAACAAATATATAAACAAATATATGACGGACAAACTTTACCCCAAAATTATACTAATATAAATTGTGTTTCAGTATTATTACATTTAAAAACTTTTATGTAATATCATACGGTACCTACCAACTGTTCGAAGAAAGTTTATTCTTGTAAAATATACTGCAAACTGAAGAAATTGAAGCTACTACGTTTTCGACTGATGAACGATGATAGTACGAAATTATTTTCCTGGTTGAGAGCTTGTAAACTTTAAGAGCTGGACAAAACATAAGACATTAAGGTTCTTTCCATACCCCCTCATAAGATCCGTTTCTTAAATACATGTTAACAATGAAAATTTGTTTTCTATACCTGACATTTATCAAAATCAGTCTGCTTTATATGTTGATGTTTTACAGAAATCATAATTTTAATAAATTAAATTATGTAATTACGAAATGAAATACCCTTCTTATAATAATGGATTATACCACTATGTATTTACAAAAGATGATAATAATGGATTGTACCAC